TCTCTCTCTCTCTCTCTCTCTCTCTCTCTCTCTCTCTCTCTCTCTCTCTCTCTCTCTCTCTCTCTCTCTCTGTGTGTGTGTGTGTGTGTGTGGCACGAATAAATGGTGGTTGTTTTTTTTTCCGCGCACCTGGCGCACCGCCCACAGCGCACAGCGCACTGCGCCACGCCCCGCCCCGCGTTGTGCACTGGTGCCCCAACTATGGTGTGCACATAAGCATGCGTGTGTGTATTGTCATCGTCGCCATATCCGTGTACACAAAGCATGTGTGTGTGTATTGTCATGGTCGCTATATGTGTGTGCATGTGCCTGCATGCATGCATTGGTCTCAGTGCACCACCGCATTCGCCAGCCCTTCTTTTTTTTCCCTCCTGGGCACACTGCTTGCTCTTGTGCCACTGCTCCTACTTTATTTCTTGTCCATTGACGTTTTCAGGCCGTGGCTCTTCTTTACTTTTGGGGTGTTTGCTGATTTTTGTCTCATGTCGCACCTCTTCTTACTTTCTAGAGTATACGTTGCTTTTCCTCTTGCGCTGCCGCTCTTCTTTCTTTGTGGGGCATCAGAGGCATTGTCAGAAGCTGGCATTGGATTTGCAATGGACAGAAGTCCACAGAGCATATCAAACAGGCAAAAGACCAAGGGAGGCCACAAAAGACATCAGCTTTCCACAGTCACTCCATGTAGTGCCCGTTCTGTGTTCCACATGCCTAACACATCCAATGGATTGAAACACAGCCCAGGCCAAAATTACATCTGAGGTCCAAAATCACCCCACCACTGTCGGCAAAATTTGAGTGTACCATGAACCACATCGCAGAATTCCAAGCAGTCTATGGGATGATTATAGGAACATGTGGCAACCACAGACAGAAAGTTACTTCGAAGCACCTTGGGCACCCTCGGCCAGTAAACTTAGGTTGGTAAAGTAGATTATCAAGATGCTGGAAGCAACAGGTCGAACATGCAAGGATGACACACTGCATATTAAATTTGATATTCGACAGCGACAGAGACTAACCAAAGATCAACATTATGCAAAAGATTATCAGCATGTGATTGAATTGTGAACTATCTTCGTTTTTATTCTTTGTTTTTTCCTCAAGTTTTGCCCTTCATTTGCCCACAGGGCACATGCCGATTCCTCTTAAGTTCTTTGTTCAGAGTTGACCAGATATCCAGCTGGCTTTATTGCCCTTTGCAATCTTATCCTTCCCCTCTTGGGTTTTCTTCGCTTGACTATGCCGTTTACATGGCCTCCTCCTTTCTCCTAAACACCCCCTTCTCTTCAAAAGCTCACCTTTCCAAAAGGCACATAGGAAGGCATTCCTGGCATACTTGGAATCTGAATGTTCTCTCTCCAGTTCATTCCCGGTCTGCTTTCCAGCTTGTCAGTCTCGTGGCCAGCGTTTTGCTGTCCGCTTTGTGCAGGTGAGGTATTGCCTCCCAGCTTGTCAGTCTCTTGAGGAGGCCTTCGTTGTCCACTTCGGGGAGGTAGATTTTTGCCATCTACCATCCTCCCATCCTCCTGGGAACCCTTCCACTGTAAGCTGCGAGGAGGTGAGGCCAACCCCCTCCCTGTATTTCTTTGAGTGTCAAGTTGGGCTAGGCCGACCCCTCCGTTTACTTCCTTTATCTCCATGGGGCGGCTCAGCATCGGATCCTGGCCCTTCAACGCCACAGCATTTACGTCCATAGGAACACCAATGACGGTTAAGCTTTTGCTGGTTCCCTCCCCATCACCAATACCTGTCAAACTTTTTGTCAACTCCTTTGAGGTCCGATTCTTTGCCCCCTTTTCCTCCATCATCGCATCAACCTTCTTCCGCTTTCCTCGGAGCCAATCCACAGCGCTGGAAGCTGCAGCACTTCCTGCTGCCAACTGCGGTGTCAGGGGCACCAATCGGGACACTCGCCAGAAAGACTGCTGCAATGCACTAAGGCCCTGCCTGGAAATCCTGGCTCCTTCCCGTTGCACTTCAATGCGCCCCGCAGATGCCACCCAGGGGGCCGAAGGAGCTGCCACATCATCTTGCTGCATACTATAATGGTCAAAATATGCAGGTGACAACAGCCGTGGTATTACATCATCAGGGATGCAATACGTCCTGAAGTATCTTTGCCAGCCCCTCCGGTGAACATACCTGTTTCAAGACACAGGAGGAAATTTCGAGATCATATGCAGGGGAAAACAACCAACAAGGGGATAGTTGAGCCAGCCCCTATCAATTCAGCAACAAACTCATCGCCATCTGGATAATCACTTCCAAGTTCCAACCCTTAACCTGCCAATCATGGAAGGCACAAGCAAATTGCCACAACGCACGCATGCCGTAACTTTATATGAAAGATTT